CCACCCTAAATTATGTGTGGTCACACAATCCCTTCTCCTCTATTTCTCCATCCTGTTTGAATTTGGGGTATGTATGCACATGACACAGTGTATTTTTTTAAGCCACCAGAGCTGGGATTTGAACAGTAGTGAGCAATGTTGGATGTTGGTCTCTTAATTACTAGTTTATGGGGCTGACCCTCAACTGATTTTTGCTAAAGGTGCCAAGAATATTCATATGATCCAGTGATCCTACTGCCAGGTATTTACCCAAAGAAATTAAAATTTGAGGGAACCAGCAGTTAACGTAATGGCTATGTCGCTGGACTCCCATGTAGTCGACCGCGGTTCACGTCCCGGACCCGGTGGCTTAAAACTCACACCGGGCGCGTGTCTGTGTGCGTGCCCAGGATCCCGAGAGGAGAATGGAGGAGAAGTGCCCACTCCCCCATGTCCTGGGGGTGATTTCTCACGTTCTGTCTCTCTGTCTCTCTCTTTCTTTCTGGTGAGTGCACGCACCGCCCCATAACAAAAACCCCGCAAAAAAAAAAAAAAGTAAAAAAAGAAAAAAAGTAAAAAAAAAAAGTGGATACGAGATTTAAATATAAGACCTGAAATAGAAGCCCTGAAACTATGAAACTACTAGAAGAAAACATAAGAAAATGCTTTGGGACATTTTTTAGTAAGCCCTCAAAAGAATTTTTGTGTAAGACCTCAAAAGCACATGCAACAGAAGCAAAAATAGATAATGGGATTATATCAAATTACGAAGTTTTACACAGCAAAGGAAATAATCAACAGAGTGAAGAGACAACCTATAGAATGTGAGATTCTTTTTTAGTTGACAGAGGGTACATGAACCTGCCAGACAAACACACACACACATACACACACACACACACGTATAGAGCAAGATAGTGAGAGAGAAAGAGTAAATGCTACCCAGTGAGGTGTGATCATGGCACAAAACTTTTCATTCATTTTTTCCATCTCATCAGAATCTTGGACATGCGCATGCACACACGTGTGCGCGCACACACACACACACACACACTCCTAGCATATTTCAAGCTACTGGGTTTGGGATTCAAACTTCAGTCAGCAATTTAGGATTTGACTCCCTATGAACAATGCTTAACTGCTGTGTGATAGGCTGGCCCAGGAGAAAATATGTGCAAACTATTAATCTGACAAGGAATTAATATTTAAACTAACAAGGGACTAAGTAGCAAAACACCAAATATTCTGGTTAGAAATCGGCAAATGAGGGACCAGCAGTTACTATAATGGTTATGTCGCTGGACTCCCATGTAGTCGACTGTGGTTCAAGTCCCAGACCCGTTGGCTTAAACTCATGCCAGGCACGTGTGCGTGTGTGCCCAAGATCCCAAGAGGAGAATGGAGCAGAAGGGATTGTGGTGTGGCCATCTCCCCTGGAGGTTGATTTCTCGCTTTCTGTCTCTCTGTCTCTCTCTGCCCTGGCAAGCACACGTGCCCTGTAGCAAAAACCTCTCAAAAAAAAAAAAAATTGGCAAATGATCTGAGTAGACATTTCTCTCAAGAAAACCTAACAAATAGCCAACATGCATGTAAAAAACGGTCAGCACAGTAAATAATCCCCCAAATAGACAACTGGGATTACAAAAAAAAAAAGTGGTCATCATTATCAATCATAAGGGAAATGCAAATCAAAACCACCAGGAGATATTTCTCACCCCAATTAGAATGACTATAACTAAAAATATAAAAATAACAAATGCTGGTGAAGATGTAGAGAAAGCAGAACTCTTATATGCTATTGGTGGGAATGTAAATTAGAATGGTCATTATGGAAAGCAGTATGAAAGATCCTCAAAGAACTGAAAATAGAACTGCCATATGATCTAGCAAGCCCACTACTGGGTAGACATTTGAAAGAAACAAAATCAGTATGTCAAAGAGGTATCTGCCCTTCTATGTTTACTGAAGACCCATTCACAATAGCCAAGATATAGAATCAACTAATGAATGGATTAAAAAATGTGATGTGTATGTATATTTATATATATACTATCTATCCATGAAAAAGCAGAAAATCCTGATGTTTGAGGCAACATGGATGAGCTGGAAGAATGGCACAAAGAGGTGTAGTATTACCTGTTGAAGATATTTTGTAGTTTTATCAACAGTACTAGAGAGAAATGTTCACCTGTTGAAATATCTGTTTTGTAAGACAAATAATAATGTGATTGAATGTATGGACGAAAATGAAATGGGAAAAAAATTTAAAAAGTAAAAGGAAAAAAATGATATAAGCCAGGCATGGAAAGAGAAAAATCACATGTTCTCATTCATATGTGGAAACTAAAAAGTTATCTTCATAGGCACTGGCAGATGGTGTAATAGTTATGTCACTGGACTCCCATGTAGTCAATCACAGTTCTAGTCCCATACCAGGTGGCTTAAACCTCACACTAAGAGCCTCTGTGTGTGTGCCCAAGATCCCAAGAGGAGAATGGAGAAGAATGGATTGCCCTGTGGCCATCCCCCCAAGGGGTAACTTCTAACTTTCTCGCTCTCTGTCTCTGTCTCTCGGGTGAGCACACATACCCTATAGCGAAAATCTCTTTTAAAAAATTTGTCTTCATAGAAGTAAAGAGTAGCATAGTGTTTCCTAGAAACTAGGCAGGGTGAGAGGAGGACATAGGGAGATATTGGTTAACAGATACAAAATTACAGTTAAGATAAGATGAATTAGTTCTAGTATTCTATAGCATAGTAGAGTAACTATAGTTAACCATAATTCATTGTATATTCCAAAACAGCTAGGGAAGAGGATTTTGAATGTTCCCAATCAATGTAATGATAAATGTTTAAGATGATAGATATGCTGACTACTCTGATTTGATTATTACACATTGTATTCATGTAATGAAAAGATACCTTACCCCAAAAATATGTACAATTATTATATGTTGATTAAAATAATAATATAAAAGAGTGATGCTTATTTCATAATCCTTACACATTCCTTCTATTACAATATTCCCAGTTAACATGTCTCTAAAATTTTTCCATTCAAAGTGAACAGGTGGCAGCATAGTGGTAATGCAACTGGACCTACTTGGGTACCTCCTGGGCTTGTGTCCCAGAACCTCCTTGTGTAGGTCAGGCATGCACACATGTACCCATGATACAGCTGGCTGTGCATGGGGGTTATCACAGCATAAGGACCCTTTGGAGCATGCCTGCCCCTCTTTCTTTCTGTCTGTCTCTGTCATAGGAAAAAATAAACTTAACCAAAAATTTTTTTTCCATTCATGGTTCATCACAATTCAAAGCTGATACCTGTTAGAGAAATAACATAATTAACTGCTTACTTTTTGGGCCAGATTTAATACAGCACAACATTAAAGATATAAAGACTGAATAACAGGACCAGCAATTACCGTAACGGCTATGTCGCTGGACTCCCATGTAGTCAACCGTGGTTCGAGTCTTGGACCCGGTGGCTTAAACTCAGGCCGGGCGTGTGTGTGTGCGTGCCCAGGATCCTGAGAGGAGAATGGAGGAGAAAGGATTGCGGCATGGCCATCCCTCATGGGGGGTGATTTCTCACTTTCTGTTTCTCTGTCTCTCTCTCTCTGTCTTTCTGGCGAGCACACACACCCTATAGCAAAAAAAAACTCTAAAAAAATTAATAAATATTATTTTTAAAAATTTGGAGGGACCAGCAGTTAGCATAATGGCTATGTTGCTGGACTTCCACATAGTCGACCGCAGTTCGTGTCCTGGACCTGGTGGCTTAAAACTCACGCTGGGCGCGTGTGCATGCGTGCCCAAGATCCCGAGAGGAGAACTGAGGAGAAGGGATTGTGGTATGGCCATCCCCCCTGGGGAGTGATTTCTTGCTTTCTGTCTCTCTGTTTCTGTCTGGCGAGCGCACGCGCCCTATAGCAAAAACCTCTTAAAAAAAAAATTGGGCAAGCTGGTGGTGTGGCAGTTAAGGTGGCTAGATCCCACATGGGCAATAGCTTGGTTCAAGTCTGGAACCAGTCACTTAAAAATCACACTGACAAGTGTGTGTGCATGACCAAAATTCCAAGAGAATACATGAGAAGAGATTGTAGTGTGGCCACCTCCCGGGGGAGGGGGGGTGATTTCTCACTTTCCCCATCTCTCTCTCTCTGTGTCTTGGTCTCTCTCTGGAGAGCAAATACACCCTGTAGCAAAAACTAAAAAACGAACAAATAAAAATGAACAATATAAATTGTTATCAGAAATTTTTAAGAGGTAGTAATGTTGAATTTTTACTTTATGGCATAGAACTGTTATAACAAATCTTTCTAAAATTGTTTTTCTTTCTTGGTCTTCTAAAGTTTTTATTTATTTATTTATGTATTTATGTATTTATCTATCTATCTATCAAGACAGTAGCAGCAAAGTTAAAAGATTTTCTTCCTTCCCTCTTTAAAAATCTGACCTTGGCTCTTATATTTTATTCCTTGCCTCCATGCTCATTATGTAACTGAGTAAACATTCCTCCTTTTAGAAACATATGAACACAAGGACTGAAAACTTCAGAATTTAATATTTGACCTTTTATTATTATTATTATCAGTATTATCATTGTTATTATTTTGGTCATATTAATTTGAAGTTGAGAAAATAAAGGTTGCAATACATTAAATGATTGATGGATAGAGACACTAAAAGGCTTATCATTAAGACTGAAATACACTCTCAATTATTATTGTAAGGGTAGAGATCAGATTAAGGCATGGATATCCATTTGTACAGAGGAGTGGGGACTCAGCCCTAAACAGAACTGTTCTGGTTTTAGAGATGAGTAAGGAGGTATGGTGAAGAATGGATCGGGAGATACGGGTGCAGCCTACCAGACTCTCAGTTATTCAAGGCCTACTAGTTCTTTTTGATAATATATTTTTTTTCACATGTGGCTTCCATGCCTTCTTTCTCAGTTCCCAATCACAGGAAAGACCAAATTTTACTGTACACACAAAAATTGATGTTTAACCTACCTTCTGCTGTAACTGGTAAAGAAATCTCCATGCAAGCAGCTGACTGTGCCTTTCGAAATGGTGGTCTTCCAGGACCCCAGCGATTTACTTTTGAAACATCAGCACTAGAAAGACGTTTTCCAGAAGTGCAACTCTGAGAAGTTGGACTTGTGCAGTGTCCATTTACATGGTCTGTACCAAGAGGAGGAAGGCAGCATAAATGTCATAATTAAATCTTAATATAAAGGAATCCAAGTGTGGAGATGAACAAATGAAGACAAACAAGAATTCCTTTTTATTTTTTCAAACTTTATGATTACAGCTAAATCCTTACTATTTTAAGATTTAATCATGTTAGTTAGACAAAAATTTCAAAATGTATTTATTGAGCATAAGATTTTTATAATTTGATTAGTTAACATAGTTTAAAATTAATTCTATATCTCTACTATGCATTGTGCAATTTAATGGCAACACATACTATAATGTATTAGAGTTATTATTTGTATAATTTAAATTTACACCAATTTATATAAGTTTTGGAAATACTTTAATTGCTTTTGTTTAAAATATAGAATGGAAGTTTCTCATGAGCAGCTGATAATGGTACATAAAAATATTGGTTCTGGAGCCAGACTACTTGGGCTTAGTTGCGCACTTACATAAATTAGTGAAGTCTTCATGCTTTAGTTTTCTCTTCTGTAAATTTGAATATTAATACCTACTTCATGGAGTTTTTGTAACTTTTTTCTGATAATAAAGCTGTCTTATGCTATAATATGTACTGGTATACTGTAAACTCAGAAGAAAATTTAGCTAGTGTTGTCACTCTTGATCCAGTGTATAAGACTACTTGTTTTAAAGACAATAGAAGGCTCATTTAGAGCTCGTCAGTTTGACTGTGTTTTGATATACTTTATAACTTGCCAAGGCACTGAGTTTGTCTTTAATATTCTTAATGCTAACAAACTGTTATTTAAAATATCATTTCAGGGACCAGCAGTCGGTGTAATGGCCATGTTGCTGGACTCCCATGCAGTCAACTGCAGTTGGAGTCCCGGACTCGGGACTCCACCGGGCGCATGTGCATGTGTGCCCAAAATCCTGAGAGGAGAATGGAGAAGAAGTGGGAGTGGTCTGGCCATCCCCCTGGGGGGTGATTTCTTGCTTTCTGTCTCTGTCTCTCTCTGTCTTTCTGGTGAGCGCACATGCCCTATAGCAAAAACCTCTCCAAGAAACAAAGCAAAACTAAACAAACATCATTTCATAATTCTGCAATAAGCAGAATGTATTTGAAAAAGTGCTTCTTTGGATAATAGAGTCACATAGAAAACAATCATGCTTAATGTCATGCTAGACATGGGGAACTGGTACTTAGTATCATACATTATAGCCTTTCTATACTGTAGTTTGCAAACCTAAAATTGCACACTTCTAGAATTCTCTTACAGTAAATGCAGGATGACAGTTAGTTTTCACCATTTATTTATTTTTGCCAGAGGGTACATGTACTTTCCAGAAAGAGAGAGAGGGAAAAAAAGAGAAGGCACAGCAAAGTGTGGTCACACCACAGTCCCTTGTCCCCATTTCTCCTTTCTCTTCAGGATTTTGGACACACATGCACTTGATGTGTTTTCAAGCCATTAGGGCCAGGATTTAAATCATGGTCTGTCATGCTAGATCAAGCTTCCAGTGCACCAGGGTAACCACTGCCCAATGGGGCCACTTAATGTGAGGATGTGTTTTACTATTTTTTAAAAAATGAGTTAGTATTTCTCAAATATGTAAATATTGGGCATTTTACATACATTATTTAATCTTCACAACAACCCTGAGCAGGTGCTTTTATTTTTTAACTTTGATTTGCTTTTTATGTATTTACTTTTTTCTAATTTTTTTTTTTTTTTACATTTAATCCCTGTACATTGTCACAGCATACAAAATGAATTTTGCTGGCAGGAATACTCTGCATATTAGTCCAATAAAAAATAATGCCATACATATTATCATCAGCAGATAATTTTCCTTTTTTGTGTCTGTTAAATTTATTATTATCCTGATTCTGAAGATGAGAAAACTGAAGCTCAGGAAAAAAGAGTTCAGAAAATTTTCTCATATGACATAAATAGTAACCACGGAGACAGGATTCTAATCAAAACTTTCTCCCTTAGTATTTGAATGTTTAAACACTGGCTTACAGAGTCAGCTATTTGGAGAGGGTTGGTAATCTTGAAGACATAATTAGTAGAGTTTAGGAGACTCATGTAATACGCACTGAAATCTAACACTTTTGAAACCAGTCATCTTCCATACTGACACAGATCTCGGAAATCTCAGATGGGAAGGCAGAAATATCCCATGATCAAATCTCTTTCCGTATGGAATCTAGTTTCATGAATAGGAAAAACCCGGAAAGCAACAGTTGACACTAACAATTTAATATAAATTAGAAAATGACAACTATTTTTTGGGTACAAATGCAACAATATGCCCCCTTCTGAGTACATAAATTAGAGAATCTGCCCTTTCCACAGACCTGACACCTTGCTCTTCAGCTCACTGCTTGTCTAGAGAAATGTAGGATGTTTGCAGCCGTCTTCATATCCTCTCAACTAGATACAAGAGTGTGTAGCAGAGACCTAAGAACAATGTAATGTGTTCACCTAGCCAGGACTCTTCTGATATGTTAAACCAAACTGACTGCTGACTAGCTTTTACCATTTTTTGGGTGTCTGTTTTTTGTGAACACTGTTTCATTTCAGCTCATAACAGGATGGTATCCATCAATAGGTTACTCAACACAATTTTCTTTTTTATCCCCGATCTGCTGTGGTAGCCAAATCTTCCCCAGTTTCTCCTGTTTGACTCATGAAGTCTGGCTGACATAACCATACATGGGCACCTTGAAGTTTTTGACCATATATTTCAGTTTTCAATAAGGCTGATCAACTTAAAAGATTTGTTTTTGTAGTTATATATATTTTTAAAAATATATAAAAGTGAATTTTCTTTGTAAAAGCTTTTTATTTCACCATGATAAACACTCTAGATGCATATGAATTGGTATAAAACACTTAGAATGAAATTTTATGATAGTTTACACAGTCATTCTGGAAATTTATGAAGAAATAATGTTAAAGACAAAATAAAAATAAAAATCTCTGTAATAAGAATATCCACTACAGTGTTAGTTATTAAACAGAAAAAATTGGAAACCAGTTATTCTTTACAATAAAGAGAAATGTTTTAGGTAAACTGTGGCACATATCACAGAATCGAGTATTATAATATTTAAAAATATTTCTGGAGTGGTGTGGAAACATACAAAATACTTGTGATATTAGGTGTTTTGTTATCTCTTGTTGCATAAAAAATATCAGTCTAAAAGTTGATGTAAAGTAACAATCATTTTACTGCACTTACACATTCTGTAGGTCAGGACTTTGGCTAGGACAAAGTGGGGATGTTTTATCTTGATGATGTCTGCAGCATTAATGCTTGAATGGCTAGATGCTTAGAATTTTTCGGAAGCTTCTTTTCTCACATGCCTGGCCTAGAGTGATGTAAAGGCTGAGCTCAATTGAGGTAGTCAATGGTGGTTTCTTCAAGGAAGCTTGAGCTTCAGGAGGCTCAGGCATGGTGGCCTCAGGGTAGTTTTTTAATTTTTTTTAATAATGGCTCAGGGCTTCAGAGTCTAGCAAATGACTTCAAAAGTGAAAAAGAAGCTCTTTGCTTGCTTCTTTGGTAATAATGCAATGGAGACTTTATTTTGTCTTAAAAGTGACATTTCAGTTTAGTGATCCCAACATTTTGTGTGTGAGAGGCAGTTTTTGTGGCGGATTTCTGATCTTCTTATAAAAATGCGTTCTTCAGTTCAAAAGTTATTGGCAGTGGTCTTCTGATTCTCTTTTTCTAACTGTAGCAAAGATGTCTTCTCCTCTGTATGTCTTGTGGTTTTATTCTGAAAATCATATCTTTGAGCCAAAGTTAGATCTACCTCTTCAGTCTTTCAATGACTTGTTAAGCACCTAATTTCTTGTATTAATCATTTTCTGCATAACATAGCTATAACGGTTTGTTTCTTACAACTTGCTCCGTGATTACAATGGTGCTTTAATTGAATTATAGACAAGGTGTATACAACATAAAGAAAATCCATGTTCTAGAAAATTCAATCTTAGAACAATAAGGTAATTAAAGTAAAAGGAAAATAGCTATTTTTTATTTTCCAGAAAGACATCCAGTTTTGAAAAACTATGTTTCTTAAATTCGCTGATTCTTTTGTACCTTTAAATAAAGTTTCTATTTAGTGTATTTATTAAATAAAGTAAGGTATAAGAGTGATTTTCTGAAAAATGGCTTATTGTGGGGCCAGCAGGTGGCACAGTGGTTTAGGGACTGGACTCCCATAAGGCTGATGGAAGTTCTAGTCCCAGATGTGGCAGCTTGCTTTCTTACTTTCCCTCTCTCTAGCTCTTTCTCTCTGTCTCTATTAGGTGAGCTTGTGTGCCCTGTAGAAAATTGAAAAAATAAACAAATAAAATTAAATAAATAATTCTTTTAAAAATGACTTATTGTCACCAATTGAAATTATTGTTATTATATTATTATTATTATTATTATATGGCATGTGTGATTACCAGAGAGAGAGAGAGCAGAAAGTAAGCCCCCATGGGGAATGGTCACACTACAATTCCTTTTCTTTCATCTCTCTCTCCTTTGGGGATTTTGGGCATGCATGCATGTGTGCCTGGCATGTTTCTCAAGTGCTGGGTCCAGGAATCAAACTGTGTGGTCAGTCTCAGGCTGCCTTAACCACCAGGACATGGAGATGGTTTGGAAATTCTTTTTAACATGGTCTTTGCAAAAGCTTTATAGGAGATTATAAATGAAGATTTAATTTATACTTGGTTAATTGGTCTTGTTAAATAAACTTTTTAGTATACCATACTATTGCTAGAAAATGAAAATTATTATTATGCTTATGACATAATGGTGATTCTATGACAAAATAAATGTTGAATATAATCCTGAATCCAAATAAGCATTGAATTTTAAAAACTGTGAAGATAAATAAAACATGAGGGCTTTGGATATGGTCAATATCAAACAATTGGTTAGAATGTTCCAAAACCCACATTAGAGTAGGCAAAGATTTCTTAAGTAGGACCCCTAAAGCACAGGCAATAATC